CTCGCCTCGACTCGTGACCCCTGTGTGTCTCCCGGGTGCCCACCGCGGCTTGAACTGCACGATCCCCAGGGGGTGCAGGCTCAGAGAGCCCTGCTCCCGAAGGTGGCAACAGCACAAACAAATCGCATTCCCAGAGCCCACCGACGACGTCGCTTCGCCGTGCCCACGGCGAGGGAGCGGGGCTCTGCGTCATTCCTGCAAGTGGCCTCTTTGCTCGTTTCCGAAACGCGTGAACGCACGCAGCCCCTGCGGACGACAGATCGCGCAAGTCGCCTCGTGTTAAGTCGGGTTGCCACCACGGGAGTGTGCTGGGGAGCACGAAGCAGTCACCTCCCCTCCCCCCCCCCCCAATTTCCGTCGGTCTCCCTGGCGAACCCCGGAGATTTACGCACGCGAGACTGCCGCAGCCGGAGCACAGAACACCGGTGTGACGCACACATCTCACGAAGCTCATGGGCGCCACGGTGGCGAGGAGATGTTGACCACCTCGCCCGGTGTACAGGAGGTCGTGGGTTCGATCCCGACCCTGACGCCTGCTGTGTATTTGGAGTTTGCCGTGTCTCCAGCTCTCATCATTATCACGGTGGCTAGGAGATGTTGACCACCTCGCCCGGTGTACAGGAGGTCGTGGGTTCGATCCCGACCCTGACGCCTGCTGCTGTATATTTGGAGTTTGCGGTGTCTCCAGCTCTCATCATTATCACGGTGGCTAGGAGATGTTGACCACCTCGCCCGGTGTACAGGAGGTCGTGGGTTCGATCCCGACCCTGACGCCTGCTGCTGTATATTTGGAGTTTGCGGTGTCTCCAGCTCTCATCATTATCACGGTGGCTAGGAGATGTTGACCACCTCGCCCGGTGTACTGGAGGTCGTGGGTTCGATCCCGACCCTGACGCCTGCTGTATATTTGGAGTTTGCGCTGTCTCCAGCTCTCATCATCATCACGGTGGCTAGGAGATATTGACCACCTCGCCCGGTGTACAGGTCATGGGTTCGATCCCGACCCTGACGCCTGCTGTATATTTCTGCTCATAATCTGCTGTATATTTGGAGTTTGCGGTGTCTTCAACTCTCATCATCATCACGGTGGCTATGAGATGATAACTACCTCGGCTGGTGTACAGGAGATCGTGGGTTCGATCCCGACCCTGACGCCTGCTGCTGTATATTAGGGGTTTGCGTGTCTCACTCCTCGTGGTCCTCGTGGATTTTAATCCGGGTCCTCTGGTTGTTTCCCTTCATATTTAGAAACACGCGAGTAGAACATTTCGCTGTAATACATTTCCATACTACGATAAGCCACGTCGTTGATCTATCATTTGTGTCCATGGCGCGTCTGAAAAAAGAGTTACACAGCTCAGTGAATGGAGCCTTACCTGGTCAAATAAAACAAATGTGAAAAGACACAAAGATCCCCCACACGGATAGCAATCAGCAGACAGTTTGGGCAAATGCCGTTTTCGAGATGAGGTGGTGTGGACAGAACAATGTTGAGGTGGTGTTGCCAGAACAAGGACGAGGTGGTGTGGCCTGAAGAAAGATCAAGTGGTGTGGCCAAATCAAGGATCAGGTGGTGTGGCCAGAACAAGGACCAGGTGGTGTGGCCTGAACAAGGACCAGGTGGTGCGGCCAGAACAAGGACCAAGTGGTGTGGCCAGAACAAGGACCAGGTGGTGTGGCCAGAACAAGGATCAGGTGGTGTGACCAGAACAAGGACCAGGTGGTGTGGCCTGAACAAGGATCAGGTGGTGTGACCAGAACAAGGACCAGGTGGTGTGGCCAGAACAAGGATCAGGTGGTGTGACCAGAACAAGGACCAGGTGGTGTGGCCTGAACAAGGATCAGGTGGTGTGACCAGAACAAGGACCAGGTGGTGTGGCCAGAACAAGGATCAGGTGGTGTGACCAGAACAAGGATCAGGTGGTGTGGCCAGAACAAGGACCAGGTGGTGTGGCCTGAACAAGGATCAGGTGGTGTGACCAGAACAAGGACCAGGTGGTGTGGCCAGAACAAGGATCAGGTGGTGTGACCAGAACAAGGACCAGGTGGTGTGGTCAGAACAAGGTTGAGGTGGTGTGGCCTGAACAAGGACCAGGTGGTGTGGCCAGAACAAGGACCAGGTGGTGTGGCCAGAACAAGGTTGACAGCCCCCTTTGTCCCCTGTGTGCTGGTGTTGATACACCGCACCAAGTACTCATTTAGAGGTTTTGTTCATTTGGTGCAATTGTGAACAGCCATATCCGATATTAGTACATCAAATCTGCATTACAATTAGTTCACTGCAGCTCAAAGACTCAATCCATACAAGGCGTGTGGTGAAGTCAGGAGATGTCTCGTGCGTTGTGCGCTCGGCATGTGAAGGCCTGGAGACCGGAATCGGTGATCTCGCCGACAATGTGTTCAGGGAGGCAGTTCCATGTGCGGGCAGCAGAGTGAATAAGAAGAAGGGAGCTTCTGTCCAGAGAGCAATGTCCTGTGGCAACTGGGGCGTGGCCTGGGAGGGTTGCAGAGGTCGCAACCGGGTACCCGATACCCGGACCCTACCCGATACCCGGCTACCCGTACCCGGCCGGGAACGGGTACCCGTTTGCAACCCTGGTGCGGCCGAGTACGGGTAGACCGTGAGTCACTGGTGAGTAACTGTTTGTCACTCATTTCCCAACGTCTCGTCTCTTCTCACAATTCAAGTTCCTAGAATCAACCCACCCGCGCCTGCAACATGGCTTCATCCCAGAGGTCGCAATCAGGTACTCGATACCCGTACCCTACCCGTACCCGGCCGGGTACGGGTAGGGTACGGGTACGGCCGGGTACGGGTACCCGTTTTCCACCCTGGTGCGGCACGGCGTCTTTCACATGGGGGTGACGGTGGAGCCATCTCCGGTGGGAGGACCAAGCCGGGCGATCACGGGCCCAGTGATCGCTGGGAATCAAATTAATATCAGACACAAAAGACAAAGATCTCCCATGTAGCCTTTAACAGGCTGTTGGGGCGAGTTGTTGTTAGCGAGACGGTATGAAGGCCGGAACGGCACACGAGGGGATGAGTGATCATCATCATGTCCCACCGCACACACATATGCACACACACATATACACACACACAAAGATAAAACGATAAAACGTTGCGCAATAACACGCACGAGGCGGTATCGTCGTTTGAAACACGGCGAGAATCCAACAGAACGAGACACAAAACACGTGTCCCGAATCGGGCGAATGGTAAATACGGGCCCTCGGAGACAAAATCTGTGATACCAACCAACTAGTGTTGATAGAATAAAACCTATGGGTGGAGATTGTTTGTACATTTAACATAACACAAATCAGCCAGCCACCAAGTGCCGTATTTAGGTCATCAGCATTACTTGCTCCATTCAGAATTATCGCACTCAGCATTGCGTTACCCCGCCTGGAGAACAGCCCCCAACAGTGGGGAGTGATCGAGCTGATGAGTGAGTGTGAGCGAGGTGATGAGTGAGGGCGCTGGTGAGTGCGAGTCAGCTGGGACGGTGAGCAAGTTGGTGAGTGAGCGACAAAGCTGGCGAGCCTGTGGGTTGATGAGTGAGAATGCTGGTGAGTGCGTGAGTCAACCGGTGTGTAAGCAAGCTGGTAAGTGAGCAAGTTAGTGATTGAGTGAGCTCTAGTCCAGTGTCTCTGGGTCCTGGGCTCGCCACCCCCACACCTATCCGCATACATCTCGTCCCCTCCGGCTCCTCCGTTGCACTTTTCAAGCGAGTCACGGCCACCTCCGAAAATGAATTGACGAATGAATCCGGATACAGCTCGGCGCAGCTGCAGTGCAATTTCAAGAGCCAGGGCTCCCACATCGGCACTGCCCCGATCGCGCGGAGACAAAAGGGGCTGCCCCGTTGCTTGGGTGTCACGGATCCCAGGTTCTGGGATTTCCTGCGCTCCGCTCTCCCTGGGTCTCTGGGACCCGAGATGGACCCCAGGTCTCAGTGAGGTCCCGGAACTGTGCCAGCCACAATGCGGGAATTGTTCTGCAAAAGGCCGCTTTTTACAAGAGGGTCACGCCGCGTTGTGGCGACTTCGTTCCACGTGACGCGAGGCACTCATTAAATTAGACAAACATCGCAATCGAGGACCCTCCTAAAATAGGCCTGAGACAGTCTCACCTGGGGTAAACCATTGACATTGTTATTAATCACAAACTGGAAGGCAAATCGCAATGATTGTGTTTTGGTCATTTTGCCAAAATGTGAATATGGCTTGAATTTTTTATTCAAAGGCAATGTCACCCAGTTGTGGGGTACAGAGCAATTTTTTTTTCCTCCTGCCACACTTTCAGTTTGTGGTGGATATGACAAACACGGGACGCCGTGGAAAAGAGGTCAAGTGATGACCCGTGGCCAGGAGCAAAACTCGCGTGGCGGCAAGGGGTGACTCCCCCCCCCACCCTGGTGGCCAAAGGTCCGAGTTGGAGCCTCCTTGACAACCACCACGGGATGTTTTCAACAAGTGTAAAAATTAACACAAACTTCATTGAAAAGCGTTTAAACTTTTTTCTCATGAAAATGCTTCCATTAACGTTCCACGTTTCATTGAAATTCATTGAGAGCAGTAACTTAATATTGCTAAGAGTTACCACGGAGGTGGAGTGGCTACATTTTGCGAAGAGCGTTACATGCTCGAGACCGTGAGCGTAACGATGTGATTAGACAAGAGCCGCCGCGATCTGTAATAGCCTAGGGGGGGGGCGACCGTGCGAGGCTAATCAAATATTGGTGCCCCACCAGAGAATTTGCCGCACCCCCCGAGAGCTGATAACGATGTAATTACTGCGCCCCTGTCAGTGGCCTTCACCTCGATCCTTCGCTCACGACCCTCTCCATCGCGACCCGGCAGCCGGTGAAACAACGCTCCGGGTCAGAGGCCTGCTTCAGGCGCGAGGGGCTCGCCCAACACCACACAAATCAATTGTTGCGTTGACCTAAACCAGCAAAACGCGATCCACAAATCATGACAGAGAGTTACAGCACAGATATATATTTATTTTATTTAGAACTGTAAGTATAAAATATCTAACTTGTTCATTTAGTATTGTGTTCGTGTGTGTGTGTGTACGCGCACGTGTTCGAACACGACGCTCGTACAAGGACATGAAACCCACGCCAAGTGGCACGCGGCGGCGGTGACCGCAGGGCCCTCTCGCCGCCGCCGCCGATGATGCCCCCACTCAGTGCCCGCACTGCGTGCCGCACGCCAAGGGAGCGCCGGTGGGATTCGTTGAGTGATCGGGCGAGGAGGCCGGGTCCGCACGCGCGCGCGCGCCTCTCCGTGTCCTCGAACAACCACCGACGACCTCCAGCTCCCCACGAATCGTAACAGCAAGGGGGGGGGGGGGGGCGACCAATCGGACACTCGTTCGCTAACTCAGTCACTCACGCATGCACTCTCCCTCACTCGTACACAACAAAGACAACGATCCCCCGCATTGCCTGAACAGACTGTTGGGGCAAGTGCTGCTAGCGAGCACCTATGAAGGCCGGCACGGCACACGAGGGGGTGGGTGGCCAGCACCACGCCCGGCCGCCTTCGTCTCCCCAGTGGCGATGTCTACACACCGCACCAGGTACTCATTAGAGGCCGAGTCGACCTAGGCGAGGCCCAAGACCGGTTCAGATAATCGTCACTGGGGTCGACCGTGAGCGGGAATTGAACCCAGGTGGCCGCTGGGTTCGTAGCGCAGTGCGCTAACCGCCACGCCACCACTCCCCCCCCCCCCCCACACTCGTTCTAAATATACTCACTCTCACACACTCGCTTCCAAGCTGCACAACCTCCAGCCAAAAATCACGGTTGGGGGATAAGCAACTCCGGGGTCTTCTGGCACAGCAATGCGGGCACAACTAGAGTGAAAAAGTGGTGGACAACTGCACCCCCCCCCCCACCAGCCCTCTAACAGTCACTCTCACAGCTGCAAACACCCGGCACCGAGGCTCCGCGCAAAATCCTGGATCCCTCGCGACTCGGGGTCGAGTGACAGGACCCCGCGCGCGGAACGAGTGGCCGTCACACGACGCTCAACCGCAAACGCCACCTGGCCCAAGGTAGTTTTCGTCATCGCCCAATTTGAAGCCTCTTCGATCCATTCTATGCCGCTCACGTTCAAAGGAGGTATGCTACTCGAAGAAATCCCGGCAAAAGACGCGAATATTAAAACGCACACATCACCGGCGTAAATGACAAAAATAAGTACGAGATGTTAGAAAAATATTTCAAAGCCATTTCTCCTCGACAAAAGATGGGCCCCAATGGACCTCGTTGCTGTCTGCGATGTGAGCTCGCGCCCTCGCCAAACGAAACCGCCGATGTTAGTGTAATCGATGCGAGTTCACTTCATTTGAAGAACGTGCTTTTTTGCCTTTCGTTTCCAGGCGTTAGAATTTGCACGACGAACTCGTGGCATGTCGCTGGAAGTATACGCACAGCTGAAAGGCTATGGTGTGAAACACCTGAACCGTGAAGTCGGCTTTTCGGAATTGACACCGCGGGGGTAGGGGTAGGGGAGGGGGGGCAGCGCGAAACGTCGCTGCTCCGAAAAAAAAGTTGTGCTGAGGCTAAATCCGGTAGTCCCGACTCGATCCCACAACCCCGACGTTATCCCACATGCTCACTCCTTCCCCTTCGTGCGTGCAGCGGCGACCGGTATAAACGTGCCCATGAACAAAGCACCGATTAACGCGTCCACCCCACCTTTCCCTCCTCTTCCCCCAAAATAAAAAAAAACCCCCGCGGTGCTAACGTGGCGGCAGCACTGCTTTTACAGAGGAGCGGTAACGTTTTCATTGCGGTGTGCGGCGCACAGATATGTGTAAGCATTTCAACAACCCAATAAAGCACGGGCTTTGTGGAGGAGCGAAGCCCGCTGGAATGCGCCGCGAAGGAATGCTGTGCGCCAAGACACGAGAGAGACCACCCGGCTCCCTCCTCTGCGCCCGCTCAGTGTAACAAACGCGTACGATGAAAACAGTTGATCTTGGAAATAAATAGGCGGAGAGCATTGTCACAGGAGCTGTGTATCGCGCGACGGCACAAGGCTACGATGTGATGTGCTGAAAAAGGCTTTTCGTTGCTGTTAAGTTTACGTTTTATATATATGTGTATAAAAAAAAGTACGGAGTTTTCATGAGCGAAAAAAATAACAATCAGAAAACAGTACTTGCCCGAACATAACGAAACATTTGCATTCGTAAAACAACGTCACGACAGTATACATTGTAAATGTTCATCGACATCGAGAGTAGAAAAGTGTGTGTATACAAATGCCCCGATGGTTCCACCTTAAGATGAATGCACAGCTAGAGATCTTTAATCACAGCATCACGCTTACCGAAACGCACGAATAAACAACAGTACAGTATCGTGGGAAAAATAAAACCTACCAAGAAATAAAACGATGGACCCTTAAGAAAGCACAATGCTTTTCACCACAGAACAGCAATTGAGAAGAAAAAAAAACCCAACAATCTGCACTGTCAGTACATCATCGTCTAACTACGCACAGGACTGGCTCTAAGTCGACGTGTCGCCGATGAAAATGAGGCCGGCGAGGCATCGCGTGTGGCCCACAAAGTTGTTCGATTAAAATTACATTCAGCTCACCGGGTACCAGCACGGCGCACACGCACACACACGCACGCACACACACACGCACACACGCACACACACACACACGCGAGCGCGCGCGCATCACATCGGTACTCGGAAAATTCCTCACTGGCTCGAGTTCACCACGCGGGGGACCAAACGCTGCGTCTGGATGCACGAGCGTAGGCACAGGCACGGGACGCACGCGCAACGCATCCTCGAGGGTCATTCAAAAGCCGAAAACCTTGTAAGGAAGGGATAGAGGATTTTGTCATCGTCTCAAGTACCACGATTCTGCACGGAAGCACACCCCAAACTGCTGGCCACAGCGCGCCACCTCGAAACGAGTTCCTCGTCCGCCAATCGCACTACATTCACGTTTCATTTAGCTAATGCACATCACTCCCGTAACACGCGACTGGTCGACATGGAGCTATGAATGAGGCCGTGGGGGGGCGGGGGCAGGGAACAGGGTGGATTAGCCTGGCAAAAAGAAAATAATCTGACGCCGAATCCTCCCGACCACTCGACTAAATTGACGGCACAAGAACGTTTTGAATGACCCTCGCAGACGCGTGTCTGCGTGTCCTATAAGAGCATCGATGAATGGTGGCGGTAACCAGAGGCACAGCAACACTGCATGCTCCAACTCCGCTGCTGCTGCTGATGGCCACTGCCGTGTATGGTTCTGGGGGTCGATTTCTCTCAATAAGCAGACAAGATAGTCTTTTATGGCTCGTACACTTGTATGTTAAATATAAAACAAACAAACGATAACTGGCTCCACTGATATGCTGTTACATGTTCCTGTAGTGCAGGACATATTCATTACATGTGCAAATGTGGCTGTGTAATTTATAACCTTTTTCACATTCATCTAAATGACAGATATATTATATCAACTCTGCTAACAATCATTTAATATAAAGGTCACCTCGTAGGGACTTTACAATGCATTGACTTACATCACGTTAGAGGACATTACCCACACTGAAGCCTTATCATGAAGCACACCAATCCCAGATATGTGATTCTAACGGTTACAAAGTGCCGACGTACGATCCGAGTAAACGCTCGTGGCCTCTCTAGATATATTTCCATACGATGGAAAAACAAAACATGGTTCAATGGAATGTGTTAGTTTCTTTAACAAAAAATTATGCACTCGCGGATAAAGTAAACACAGTGGCAGCGCACAAGCGCACCATGCCAGGCTCTTCCCGGTTGTGGCCATAAGACGTCGGCAAAGTCGCCCGAACGCGATCGATTTGCGGAGCGTATGGCCAACCTCCACGCCGATGTCCATTGTCCACCCCGCCGGGGAAGCTGAACGGGCGAGCGCGCGTTCGGCAACCGATCCGCAGATGCTCGGCGCTCTTAACGCGGGCTTCGCCTTTCTGCTTCATCAAAGCAAAAGGCATCGGGGGCCACTCTCGGGCGGCCGTAACGCACACGGCCCGCCCGCCAAGTGGCATGAAAGCGACGCAACAGAACGAGGAAGGGACCGGCCGGCATGGTAATCGGGGCCACGCGCTGAACAGCGGCGCTGCTGCTGCTCTAGCCGCCGTCGCCGCCGCTTTTGCGCGGCAACGAATTCCATCGCCGTGCGCCGACAAATCCACCTGGCTCCGTGCTTGGCAGAGTTACAGCAACAGCATGCATCTGGAATTTGCAATCTGCACTGTTCACGTATCAAAAATGTCTCTAAAATGCGGATTAACCAGGTCTCTCCCATATAGGTATTCTACGTAAAATATATTAGTTTACATATTCGATGAAAATATATATTATGAAAAGTAAGACAAAACTGTACATCATTCCGTTGTTCGTGAATCGACACGCCGGGGTAATTCGGTCGGACCGCGCACCACCCAGGGCTGCATTTTCATTCCGCACACGTACAGCCCGAGATCTTTCCCCATTCACCATAGGCAACGAATTAACCTTAGCCACACACGTACAGAACCGAAAACTGACACGAACTTCACAAACCGATAAGGGTCCGCCCTCGGGCAATATTGAACGCTGGGTGCTCAGCACTCTGCGGAGTTTGGCAGCTGTGTTGCGCGTGTTTAGACGGGGGGGAGGGGGGTCCGGGGGGGGGGGGGGCTTGCAAGAGACTGGCGCACGTACACTCTCCCGAATATTTCTCTTCCAAAGAAAAAAACACGTCTGCACCAAAAACTCCAGTCTTTTTTTTCCCCTCCTCCCTGTACAATGTTAGCATTTTTCAGGCAGGTCATCCCCAACTGTGAGCAGTGTGTGTAAGAATGAGGAATACGCAAAGAAAACAGCCGCACTAAACTTGTTTGCCAAGTGAATGTGGCTTCAAACAACCAAAAAAAAATGGCCACGGCTAATGTCCAGCAGGTGTCTGGCAGAGTCTATTGACATGTTCACTTAAAAACCTGTAATGGATCTTTTGGCGCAAAAGGCCATTTCAAATTTGGCAACGAAATAAGTATGTTTAGTGCTTTGTCATACTCCTGGGCAAGTCACCTGTCTGTGGGAGCACCGGTGTAAAGTACGTAAAGTGTCATTATTTATGATGCCACTGGTCCCAATGTCTACGGAGTCGCGATGGTGAACCGAGGCTCTCTTACAGGATACACTGGCACGCCTATTTACACTCCAACGCGCCGCCGTCTATGTACACAAGCAAACACACACACAGACGGCAGGGCGAGGACGTACGGGACACAGGTATTTCTCAAGATTCCAAACTCTTGCGAGCGCAATTCAAATCGCAGGAAAAGGACGTAAAACGTATTTTTTCCGCACTGCCTGCTATGAAGCCACCTGCCCCCATGGATGCACCGGTGTGCACTGAATCCCAGCCAATGGAAATTGTCGTGTCTGTCTCGGCTGAAAATATCACTTCCTGTGAACATTGCCACACTTTCCCGTTCCTAGACAATTTACAAATCGCCTTGTTTGCAGGTGTGCCGTGGACTGCCTAGATTAGTGCATACATTGAAAGTCCACGCGTTAATTTCCCGATTTGAAGTCTACCTCCATTGGCAGGGAAGTATTTTGAAAAATAACTGCATCTTGTGGCTATTTCTTGCATCGCTATCCTGCACGAGTCAACGACAAACCGGCGCTTTTCAGATTACTGGTCCCGACTGTCTCATGTGCCGTGTAGCGGTTTCGCGACTCCGCAACGCGGCGATTAATTTGCGTTCAGAGGCACCTCTACACAAAACGGCAAAGTCTTTAAGTGCTGCCAAGGCAAATGTGGAAAAAAATAAAAGGAGCAAGCGTTTAGGGCAGGGCAACCCTCAAGTGGATGCCACGCACGCGACGCTTACCCGGCAACGAGTGCGATTCGATGGCTCGCCCGCTTCTCTTCAAACAGCAGCACGGTGGACTCCACCGTAAATCCACCGCAAGGGCCCAGAAAAACATCGTGAACGAAGGCCAATACTATAAAGGTAACCAAACAACAAAGCGGATCCTCGCTCCCATGACCCCACAGCCCATTGGCAGTGTCGCGGTGACGATACGGCGACACTTGAGACCTGGTCTAAAAAACGGGGGGTGGGGGGGGAGGCGAGCGTTTGAACGTTCACGTCGCCTGGGAGTCGACTGGTTGGCTGTCTCCTGCAGGCTCACTTGTGTGATTGGCTGTCACTCACAGGTAGATACAACGATTGGCTGGCTAACGACACGTGTTAAAGCCGGCCACGTCCGATTTGAATGCGCACGAGTACCAAAGCGTCACCTTGCAAATGTGCCGACGGATTTACAAGCGGACGAATGACTGACATGACCCCAGCATCATCGATAAGCGATAGACGACGGCTCCCACTAACAACCCATTTCACGACTCTACGAATCATCGAGATTTCTACGTCGACGCTCTGCGAATATGCATTTACGCGTGCATACACACGTTAGTGCTTTACGTCCGACATTTGGCGTTTATGTTCTTTATATGAAATATAATTTTAGAGTAACGTTAAAAATATATATCATGTAAATTTTCACGTCTATGTACAACATAAATTGCTGGATTTCTTTTAGCGATGGCTTCAAGACGAGGGTGACCTTCGAACGTCTTTCGCTCGGGGAATGCCGAGGAGCGGACGGCCGTCACCAGGGCTGGCACGCGGGTCCCAGCCGGTCACGGTCACAGCGGTGGTTTTCCAGCTCTGGGCTCGGCGAACTGGCCGGGTGTCCCACGGACACACGCACGCGCGCCTGAGGCCGTGACTACGGGCAGACCACGGTCGAGAGTGACGACCGCAGAGAGTACCGCTTATGGGACCCATTTCCCATTTAAACGTGCGTCATTGGCGGTGTTCCGTTATTGTAGTCAACCTCGAAGTTGTTTAAACAGCTCTGGGCTCAGCGAGCTGGCCGGGTTGTCCCACGGACACACACACGCGCGCACGAGGCCGTGACTACGGGCAGACCACAGTCGAGAGCGGCGACCGCAGAAAGAACGTGTTTAGGGGACCCGTTTCCCATTGAAACGTGCGTCATCGGCAGTGTTCCGTTATCGTAGTCGACCTCGGACAGCCGCTGGCGAGAGCGGCGGGTTAGGAGTTGCGAGCCACCCGGGTTCGGTGCTGCGAGGCGCGGAGACGTCGCGCGACGCGCCGTCACCCCTGTGGGGAACTCGTTCAGTCGGCCTCCTCTTCCATAGGCTCCAGGGATCTGGAGAGTAAACGAGCAACGATGGTGAATTAGTTGTCCTTGCAACTGCTTAAGCACAATTCCTCCCATTAGATTTGCAATTACTCATTGAATAAGCTGATGCATGATTCAGGTCATGATGCAATTATGGGAAAAATAAATTAGGTGAAGGAACAGTGTGTTCCGAAAATCCATCACCGGCGCCATCCCTCCCTTAACCGTCAAGGTCGTGGGGACACCAGCCACGCTTTGGCAATTATCTCTCTCCGCGTCCTGCGACGTTTTTTTACGACCTGCAAGACGCCCATTGCCGATCTCTCTCCCGAGACACTGGTGTTCATTATCCAGCCGGTTTGTTGGCCGACCTCTTCCTCTTTACATTTTAGCGAAGGAAAAAAAAAACATTCCTGTGGCTGTTCCAACGCCACCGACGTAAGAGTCAGCCGCGTCCGGGGGAGGGGTGTGCAGTACGGCGCTGACGGAGAACAGAATCGGGCGACCTGCGGGGTGGAGGGGGGGGGAGTCGCACGTCCCCCTAATCCCAGGAGTGCGCGCCGCGTGTGTCTGTGTGCCGGCGGCGGTCACCTCCGTTCCGGCGTGCCGTTGTCGCTGCGCACGGCGACCGATAGGGAGGCCATGGCGGACACGGTCTCCACCTCCTCGCGCTCCCTGCGCTGAGCTTCGAGCGCCGAGAGGCGCACGGTGCTCACGCCACGCCGCAGGCTCGCCCAGTACTTGCCTGCGCAGTGGACGGCACAGCGAGGACCCCCCGTGGGTTACGCGACGCTGACGTCTCAGATACGGCTGGGCTCGGTGACGAGGCTGCAATTAAGCCTTTTTGCTGTCGAGTCGTTTGCGTGCAACAATCGAGTAGTACGCACAAGCTGTGCGAGGTCATAGCAGAAGGCAGTGCAGCAAAATCCATTGTTGTACTGCACTTCTGTGCTCCTGCGACTACACTCCACACCTTCACTAACTCACACCGAGCAGCATGGTGAAGGAGAGTACAATAACCCACATGGCGTGGGGCGGGCCAGTATCCAGCAGTGGATTGACAAAAGGGCTGCACACGAATGGAGCAACACAACTGCACAAAGAAGACAAAATAATGAGAAACAGACAAAACAGAAGAAATCGATCGTTGAACCGAATCATTAACCCTGAATCTTTTTAGTGCGCTTGGCTACGAAAGAAGTTCAACATACGTACACACATAAATCGAAACACCGGGGAGTGAATCATCGCATGTCTCGTATTTATGCACGCTTGGGCGAGAACCGCGATGCCACTAATGCTGTGACGCGAGACTGACTCACCCTGAATGTTGATGACCTTCTCCAGAGTCTCCGCCGCATTTTGATTAGGCCTCTGATCCAAAACATCCTTTGGGAGGGGATCCAGCTGCAATGGAATAATTCCATTACCATCGTCGCTTCCACAATGTCTCCCACAACAACAGCAAAAATATTCAACGCGTTACACAAAGCGACGCGTGTGCGAGGTGAGCTCCGTACTGCAGAGCAGCGCCGTGCTGCAATGAGTGGACGTCTAGATTGTGTCTGCGTTGGCCACAGAGGGTGGAACCACCCATTCCACAACTGGAAAATTAAAAGGATCATCCAAATACGACTGCCGCACACCTCAGAAAACAGTAACGACTAAAACTATCTTTATTTTACCACGTAAGGCCCACTGAGCTATGTAGCTTTTTTTCAGAAGCGACCTGGCCACAAATGACAGCTCAACAAAGTGGCTGATGGTGTGTTTCTAAATGTGGAGGGAAAAACCAGAGGACCCGGAGAGAAAACCACAGGGAGGAACATGCAAACTCCAAAGGTGTCAGGGTCGGGATGGAACCCACGACCTCCTGTATACCAAGCGAAGTAGTTAACATCTCACTACTGCGGCGCCCCACGTTGTGAGTTCATCTGCTAGTCTGAGGACTGAGTCTATGGGTCTCTGTGCGAGTCTGTAGGTCTGTGTGTGAACTCGTGTCCACTGCAAGCGACCTCCGAGTGCACGAGTGGTCCACACTCGCTGTCCTCTAAAGCATTCGCTCATTCATCAGCGCGCATAGTCAGCGAAGCACCGTTGTTCCAAACCTGTGACCTCTTGCGAGTGCATTCGCATAAATTGCTCTTGCTGCCATACACCGGTGCCTCAAATGATTAGTTTGATCCACGGATCACAGGCGGGGGGGGGGGGGGGGGGAACCACGGGGGGCGGCGCCATTCCTTTGAGAGGTCGTAGTTCACTTCGAACACTGACCGCCTGAAGTGCGCAATTTGAGTCTCTTTAAGCCATCGTTGGCTGGATTTGCGACTTGGGACTTCGATTTATGCGGTCACTTCTCAATCCGTATCCGTACGAAAGAGGCGTCCCCGGACGTGCGCCTGATGCGGTGGAGGTTACCTGGTCGCCCAGCAGGGCGTGCAGGCAAGCCTCGGTGCCGTCGCACAGCGCACCCAACTCGTGGCCCCCTTCCAGGGAGAGCACCACCCGCCCGTTGGCCACGCTCATGAGCTGGCGAACCAGATGCCCAAAGCCTGTTCCATAAACACACACGACAATTCCCCGTGTAGACATACAGACTTCTGTCAGGAGCTTTTAGCGTCTATTCCATATATACACACACCCAGCCACCTTAATCTCCCCAGTGGTGATGTTTACACACTGCACAAGGTGTTTATTTAAGGCCGAGTTGACCTAGCAGAAGCCCACTCACATACCAATACATACACAACACAAAGATCCCCCTGTATAGCCTGAACAGACTGTTGGGGCAAGGGCTGTTAGCGAGCACCTATGAAGGCTGGCATGGCACATGAGAGGGTGGGTGGCCATCACCATGCCCGACCACCTTTGTCTCCCCAGTGGCGACGTTTACACACCGCACCAGGTACTCATTTGAGGCTGAATCGACCTAAGAGAGGCCCAGGAACGGTTCAGATATTCATCACTCATATACATACACATCTGATCACACTCAACAATCTCACAGGATTAGCGATTCTAGACGGTTTCCAAAATCGTATGTTGGAGTTGGTTTCTTAGTCTTAGGATTCAAAAGTATTTCAGACATTAATGTGGGTCCACATTGCATACACGAGGCGGCATACATATTATAACTATTAATGGAATGCATTGTCAATCCACTGCTGGATAAGAGCCTCTCCTTGCTGTATGGGTCATGGGGGAAAATGCTTTTGCTGTCTCTCTAAAGAAAATCTTCAGCCCAGGATGTACAGAGTTGGTGCCTCCTTATAGAATCGCATAGCTGCTTCTGATTTGCATTACGTATTCATGTAAAAAGCCTAGGATGAAATAGTACGCAATGTGCCTGGATATTGTCAGATCTCGGAAGCTCAGTAGAGTGTTGAGCCTGGATAGTGCTTTGATGAAAAACCGCCATGCATGCAACAGGTGCTATAGGCTGCTGCGGGACTATGTTGTCATCAGGAGAGGGCGGTGCAGCAAAACACATTGAATTAGAATATCTATTTATACTGGAAGAATCCGATGAGCTATAAAGCTGTAGGGGCGGAGGATAGCAGTGCCCAGTACAAGAAAGGTAAACAGATCACCCAAATGCATACAAATAAAACTAAACCATCCCCATCCTACCAGGCAAAGCCCACCGAGGTATTCACTTTTTTTTCAGAAGCGACAACAAAGTGGCTTATCGTTTGGACATTTATAGTAGCAAAATAATCAAAATTATCTCAATGCATGTTTCTAAATGTGGAGGGAAAAACCGGAGGACTCGGAAGAAAAAAAATCCACGCAACCACGGGGAGAACGCGCAAATTTCAAATATAGAGAGGCGTGAGGGTCGGGATCGAACCCACGACCTCCTGCATACCAGGCGAGGAAGATCACGTTACACCACCGTGGTGCCCCTCGTTACATTGTGCTCCGCTCCAGCGTCTACGCTCTCCACCTTCACCAACGTGCCACCGACCAGCGGGGGTCAAGTATGTCGAAATAAACCTCCCCGACTCCCGAGAGCCCTCATCCAGTAGCGCATCGACGACGAAAGGGGCGGTGTGCACGGAAGATGTGCAATCGTGGAACGTCTTGCTCGCTGCGCGACGTTGACGCCGAGAGCCGCGGCTCCCCGCCGAGTGGCGAGGAGGCGCTACTCACAGGAGGCGGTGAGCTTGTAACCACCGAGCTGCGGCGGGTGTCCATCCAGCGCATCGAACCCGGCCGAGACCAGCACCACGTCCGGCTCAAACTCCACCGCGATGGGCATCACCACCGTCCTGCACAGGAACCGACACGAACACCGGGGGCTGCTACCGCTTCCTTTAGGCAGGGCCAAACTGTGCCCACGGAGCGCCCTCCTGTCTCCCTAAGGCCTGAGTCAAGAGCGAAAACAAAGCAGAGCTTTACATTCTAACGCTCTCGTTTAACGTGGAGTGGTAAGGGAGGTACGACACGCTAAAATCTGTGTCAAGCACAGTTGGGGAGGGGGGCGCGGGGACTGCTTCCATATGCCACATGCTTCTGGGGCGGGGGGGAGGTGGTGGAGGGGAGGGGGGCGGAGACTGCGTGGAGGCTGCGCCAGAATAATTTTATTGGAAGGCTTAATGCCAAATATGGCTAGCCGGAATTCGGCTACCCAGGCTTTTACCGCGTTACGTCTGCATAATACCAATTACTGTCTCATAATTGACAACAAGTGTGAGAACTAAACCACTGCGTAAGTTTTTCGCAACTGTGCCGTGTAGCCCTACGATGCAATTTTCGGGTAGTGCGCGGAGTAGTTCGGCATCCTCACGAAGCTCTCGACACGTGCAGTGAAACGGAGGACGGTCGAACCGAGCGACATGCGGCGCTAAACACGAAATACTTGGGAGTGCCTTACACAGCTCGATCGAAAAAAAAAACCTAAGCAGCAGCAGCAGCAGTAGGATTGTTTTATGGCCTCGATTGCACCAGCAGGAGGCAGCAGGGAGAGAGTTGCGCGGCGACGCACCGGAAGGCGGCGAGGTAGTCGGCGTCGCCCATAGGGGGGTCCAGCCCACCGGTCCACGGCACGTTCACTGTGAACCCCTCCCCCGGCCCCACGCCCACCTGCACGCGCACGCGGTGACCACAGCCCCCACCCCTCGATCAGCGGGGCCCAGCTGGACCGCGGCGAATCCACCAACAGGGTTTCAACCCACGCCGACCAATCGAACGCGTCGTGCAGCGGGCAGTGTGGCGGTCCGCCCTCACCTCGCTGGACGCCCCGCTGCCGGGGAAGAAGTTTCCGTTGTCATAGCGATGGAGGGAAAGATAGAGGACCCTGGGGTCGTTGTAGAACGCCTGCTGTGTGCCGTTACCATGGTGCACATCCTGTGAAGCCAAACACAGCGCACGGCATGGCGGCGGCGGGGGGGGGAGGCAGGACATGGCTCAGTATGTCCTCGCAACGTGAACCGAACGGACAAATGCTCGGTTACAGTGAGAGGTCCACGAACAGCTAGAACGTGCATGTGTTTTTGTTTCGTGTTTGTGTTAATAAGAAACGGGCTGTCTTAATGCACCAGACTTCCATGAAATATTGGCTTCAGTACTGCGTGAAAGGCAGAATATAAAATGGCATTCTGCTCCACTGTCTTGTCTGGTCAGACCGATGTCCAATTCAACTGCAGACAATAAAGATCCATTGGCAAGACCATTAAGAGTATGCTTTAACCGATCAATGCAGTGACCTCAAAGCAATTATCAAGGGAGGTTAACGAGAAGACCATGCAAGGTGGCCAGAAGATCTTGCCTTCGAGTGCGGTGATTATACCAGATTCTCAAGCGTAGCGAGTTGATTATTTCATCCTGGTCACCAGTCACACTTAATTGGTTCTGCACCTAATTCGGCAAAATTCGAGTGCTGAGAATTGAAAACATCCAACATTTCTCTCAGTGGCAGAGCAGGTGAGAAAGCGCTGCCCACTATTGCAAGGTCAGGAGGTTACTTGAAGGGATCTCAGAGGTAGCTGTGATATCCACATCCGCGAGCCGTTCTCTAACACGAAGGGTTGCACACTTCTGTGCGAGAGCTCCCACATGTTCAACTCATCACGTGAAAGCTGATGGCACAATCGGGATATAAAGTGGAATGCAATAAACATCCATAGGAAACAAAAAAAATCCAGCATGCAGCTAGAAAGTGCGGCCGCAAGGCAAGCTCACCAGATCGACGATGAGGATCCTGCGCACATGCAGCTCCTGCTGGAGCAACTTTGCTGCGATCGCCACCGAATTGAAGACGCAGAAACCCCTAGAGCGTAGGGTGGGGAGCGAGGGAGCGCACACGCTCAGCTCCAGAGACACACGGCCTGCACAAGTGCACCACCCTGCCGACCACACACACCCTCCTCAATCTCACCAGCAAGCATTCACCGACTCGCACGAGCATACAACGCAGGAGGCGTCTGTGGTTAGGTGACCAAGAGTGCCAGCTACAGCAGGGACTGTTGTCTTTGTCGATTGCAACTGTCAATTGGGATGACACATTGAAATTGTCTAGGAATGGCATGTGCTGCAAGCACACTCCGTCGATTGCACACGTACAGCCCTTTGTCAATACCCTGACGGGCCTCACAACACCGCGTAGGTCCTGGTGGTCAGTGTGTGTTGGTGAATGCAGGGAGCATAGATGTGGGGGTATAGGAGTATTGTACAACAATGGATTATGCTCCACTGCCCTCTGCTGTCCACCATGTAGCTCCAGAGCCAAAGAACATGTTTCGTGTGAGGTTGTCACCTCTTCAAAAAACAAAAAATTATCAAACCTGCCTAGCTTAGTTCATCATGAGATTGGGTGCATTCTGGGTGATTTAGTCATACACACGTAACTTTCTAAAAACATTGTAACTAGTATTAGCCAAAACATAATGCTGAAAATGTATCTATAAATTACTCAATTGGGATGACATATCGTAGCATTGGACCCTATCGCACACGCATGGCAGGACCTTCCTCAAAAATAGTCTTGAGTGAGGCTTTACCGAAGCGAACAGGCATAATACCGATTTTACTAATAACAACAAAAACAATGACCAAACCACGCCACTGGCTCTTAACCATCTGGCATGTGCACTGCAACTCACATCACGGCAGACTCCTCGGCGTGATGGCCGGGCGGGCGGACAATTGCAAAGCCATTCTAGAGGACACAAGAGACACCTGCTGTTACAACACAGTCGTTTGTTGGAACGTTACGCAATTATTATTATTTTTACTATTTCAATAATGTATTAACCAACAGGTCCAATCGGATTGCAGGCGAATGACAGGGGGCATGACAACAAAATTAAATATTATCCAATCACTTTTGCTTTCTCTCCAGTTGAGCTGTTCTTCTCTTCTGATGCCAAATCATTATGGTGATTTCACCTCCAGGTAGAGGAACTCTACTGTATGATAACCGGTTAGACCTCGTCATTAATTCACTCCCAAACTCAGGCTTCGAGAACAAAACCACTTAACACTTTTGTACCATTCCTTACTCCTACGATTTATAAAAAAAAAACTGAACGTTAACGGTGCCTTATTTTTTTATCCCTTTGTCAACACCGCTGAACGAAGAAGGCATCTTGCACACTGCGGTCAAATTAGAGGAGTGCCACAGTTGCTTGTCTAGAGGCGCTGGCCGGCACCTTGAGTTGCCCCGACGCGACGTGGAAGGCGAGCGTGGTGACGGAGCCGGCCGCCATGCGTGCTGCGCTGCCCGAATGAGCGTCGCTCCAGTACGTGTCGCTGTCGACCTGCAAGGTACGTCCACGTACGGGTGAGCTGTGTGCCAAGACTTTTGACAGTCATCGTGAGCTGTGTGCCAAGACTCTTGACAGTCGTCGTGAGCTGTGTGCCAAGACATTTTCTAGCCCAGATCCACAAAACACTGACGATCTGCAAGGACCTGGGGGAATGTGGCCAATGGAATGATTGCAGTGACTACGATTTAGAGTAGTTTTAATTAACAAACAAAAATATTGATGGTGCAAGATGGCCCGGAAAAAGAGTTTTTAGGTTTTACAGTGAGCCTCAGAAACTATTTCACCAGGTAAGGCCCACTGAGCTATATAGCTCTTTTTCAGAAGCGACCTGGCTATCACAAATGATAGCTTAACAAAGTGGCGTATCATCACGTGGACATTCATAGCAGCCAAACGCGCATTTCTAAAAGGTTGGGGACCCACTGCTCGAGCCAATTGCAGGAGTGAAGGCCTCCCCCTCCCAATGTCAGCCCCACTCTGTGTGGTCCCGCGTTGCCACGATCCATCATCGTGCACTCACACAAGTGATCATCCACTTGGGCTTGATCCCTCCTGTTGGCTGCAACTCCAAGTGACCTCAGCGTAGCTGTGCCAACTTTATATATGGTTTTGATAATTTCTAGATTTATATATTTTATTAAGACTCTGATTGAATGCACCAGTCTCTACTGAATCAAATGCATTTTCATAGTCCACAAAAGCTAGGCATAGCGAGTGGTCCCATAATATAGGATTTTTGGTTTAGGTCGCGTAAATATAAATGCGTCGTTAAACCCGCCACCACCCGATACAGCCAATTAGTAAGATTTGTCACATAAAGAGAACATGCCAATTCGTTACGAGTACAGCAAACCGGTGTGTTGGAGAGCAAATCCAGAACATTTACAACCTGAGTACATAATGAGTGGTGTTTGATATATTCATTTGAGAATCTATTAGCTGGTATGTATGTATATGGCCAATGGTAGAAAACAAATTTCAGCTCAGTTGCATGGTTTATTGGCCTCTAAATTATACCATCTGTGCTGGGAGCGTTGCCATCTTTCCTACTGCTAAGGGCAGTGGTTACCCACATTAGGTGCGAGCTCTGAAACATCGTCGTGCTCATTTGAGATACTATTTATTTCCTGGGTTATATCAGGGGTCCCCAACCCCCGGGCCGCGGACCGGTACCGGTCTGCGGCCCGTTAGGAACCGGGCCGCACAGCAGCAGGAGGTGAGAGCGGTGAGTCCGCGCGTGGACCGTCCCATTATTTTATTATTTAGCACTTCCGTCCGTGCCTCTTTCCCACACTGCGCACTAGTCTCAGTCACAGTGTTGGTCAGCCCACAAGTTAACCAGAGCCAAAATTAGTGAAAACCAAACGTCGCTGGAGAGCTTCTTTGAAAAGGGAGAAAGACCCAATGATGACCCCCCCCCCCACCATCCGTGAAAAAATTGTCTTCCACGAAACCGGTCCCTGGTGCCAAAAAGGTTGGGGACCGCTGGGTTATATGATGTTATTTAGTGAGAGAGATCTGCACAGGATTCCTCCACCATACTAGAATTGTGGATACATCTCTACTGTGGCGGCTGCCCTCACCTCAGGGCAGCGCTTCGCAAGAATCCCAGGTGTGCCGTGGTATTTTCGGAATTCTACGAAACATCCTCACTGTTCGCAAACGCGAGACAGACGAACGCTCCTCCTTGCCGTTCAGTGACCAATCCACGCCTGCTCACCACCCCCACCTGCCACCCTCCCCTCTTCATTGGCGCATTATGCCTGCCAGCCGTTGGCCCCCACCCTTGGACGCCCACCCCACTTCACCCCATCCCACCCCACCAACCCCATAACCCCACCCACCACACCCCGCCCCATCCACCCACCCACCCACCACATGCCAACCCACCCACCCATCACACCCCAATCCACCCACCCACCACACCCCAACCCACCCACCCACCACACCCCAACCCACCCACCCACCACACCCCAACCCACCCACCACACCCCAACCCACCCACCACACCCCAACTCACCCACCCCAACCCACCCACCACACCCCAACCCACCCACCATACCCCACCACCCCCACCCACCAACCCAGGCCCACGGTGGTTTTATGGATCGGCGTGCGGCGAAGCTCGAGCGAGCTCGGAAGCGTGCCGTGGAGTGAAACAGTTTGAGAAGCGCTGCTCTGGGGGCTACTCTTCGTGAAGTAACAATCAATGGCCCCATCATTGCTCACGATGACATCTTCAATACGTTTTTTTTTTGTGTTCCCTAATTTCTCGTCTCATTATTGTCTCATAACGGCTTTACATAAACTTAAAAATATTTGTTTTCTAAATAGAAAATTAATATCTTCAGAACTGCTCTTTGTGTTTAGCTTATTGTCCTTCCCTACGCACCTTCAATCAGCACGGTTGGCTACGTACGATGCGAAAGAAGTTCAACATACACATGTGCATAGTTCTGTGTATGCTACCTTCTGTTTGTAACCTATAAGTGTAAAAAAAATATGAAACGTTTATCTCCGTGAATACAATTACATAATACTTATCACAAAGCGTGTTGCAAGGGTTAAGTGCATTTTATCCGATGGCATCGACACTCGGGGTGAGAACAGAGCGTGCAGCAGGTGAGCGAGTCCCGCGTGAAGCGCTCCTCCTGCAGTGCACTTCACCACTCACCCCAACGCCCCCGCACCGCAGCAGCATGAGCTGTGTCGGCTGAGCGTCTGTAACACAATGCACACACACGCGCGCTCCCATCACACGGGGGATCACCGCCACAGCTCTTGCCAAGCGCGACACGTCGGGGCCAAGACGTCGCTTTTTCCCCGAATGGCGAGAGCCCTGGGGCATTAAGAACAACGGTGGCAGATCACTTCTCTCGTTTTATATTTAATCGAAGGCTAATGACAAGACGTTCAGACTTAATGTAACCCTAATCCCCATCAGGAATGCCAATAAGTTAGTGGTGAGCATTCGACATTAGATTTAATAACAAAAAACACACCAGAAATTCGGAATCGGGTGGAACGGGAAGGGTGGATTTTGAGCTCTCGAGTCTTGCAGTACAGAGCGTGAACGATGAGGCAAAGTTAATCGTTATCGGCCTCATACCACACACTCTGTCAAGCCGACTGCCCAGATTATTTTAGGAAGCTCCATGGACATCCTTTCTTTATAAGTGGCTCGCTTGGCTAACGGGGACAGACGTTGGTTGGCCGCTGTATAATTTGACTCCTTTCCACGGGAGAAACGAGAAGAAGAAGCTGTGGGGCGTCCCCTGCGTGTGCTCTGGTAGCCGGTGGCGGCGGGGACCGGCGCCCGAGAGCCCCCCCCCCCCCTCCTCGTTACGTTACCGAGCAGCCCCTGCGTGTCCAGTTTCTGGCGGTTGAGGGGGTTGGTGCCGTAACGCAGCACGTGGAGCTCCGAGTGCACCGTCTGGATGTCCTTGAGCGAGGCCTTGCGCCCCGCGATCACCTGCACGCGCACACCGGCCGTTGATGACGGCCGTGGATCCGCACGGGATGGACGTTGGGAGCCTTATTTCTGAGCCCCCGAATAGGACTTTTAAAATGCCTACGGCAGGCCGCACATTTGCGCAGACACACACATCCGGTCCTTTCTGTCTCTGCTAGGGACCCTTGCAGTGACAGACAGTGACTTGGCATGCTAAAATGAGAAAACAGTGTTGTTCTCAGGTCAAATATATTGCCCTCTAGTATCCGATTCGTGCGGCTAAGAAGCTTGCCAAGACGAATAAATATAGTGCGGGCGGCTTCGTAGTGATAGGGCTAAGGTGGTCACGCGCCGAATAAAATTAAATAACGGGCACATGAAGTCGAGTGCTGAGTCTGGCAAACGCGCCACAGGGTGCCCAACTCTGCAATGGGGACTCAGCCCCACACTCAGTTGTCTCGATGACGTAATTATAGGGCTACAGCCAAGCACAGGATCATGCCCCACAGAGACACAGACTAAGGGACGCTGCCAGACAGCGCTGTGAACCAGCACCAACCAGCTCCTAGCTCTCCTTCACTCATCATTACCTCTATTTATAACCACAGTGAAACATATTCATGTTCATTACAAGGGGACTCTTGGCACATAGTAGGGATAGCACCATTACAAAGGCACTTAAGCACATAATTTGACCATATAAGTGCCTAGCATGTAACACTTAATCCACATAGTGATTCAATCATGTATTTTTTTTTCATATTGATCTCACCATCTCATTTTGTATCGTTTATTTTTGGTCGCTTTGCCTGTTTTCCTATGCTATTTCCCATTTAGAGTATTGTCTGTACTTTTACACTGATTGTAACATCAGCATATAAAATGCACACATTTGCACACAATCGATGGTTACATGCACGATTTAATGCATACATCGTCAGTTAATTAACACATCTTACCCGGTGAAGAGATGCACCATCACACACGTAATAAACACCAAATAAACAACGCAGCACGACAATCGCCCGATCATATTAGGACATTTTTTGCCCAAAGCACAAAGCCCATATTCACCCTTTTCCGTTCTGAGACCTCTGCAAGTTGAAAGTTGGGTCCCGTTGACTGCTGAATCACGGCACTCGCAAACGGTTAGCGTTAATTTTATTTAGATGCCTAGCGCTGCTGTTTTTAAAGACATTCGACTGTACTCACCGCAGAAAACCGTAGCGACACGACCGCACTCTGTGACAGCTGGCGCTAAACTGTGCCACACGCCCTCCCGCATGGCTTTGTGGGAGCCTCGGTACCAAAACAAATAATTTTATTTTTATTCCGGTTTTGTTTTGATGACGTAGACGTACGTCACCGGAATGGGAAAGGGTTAACATGCGGCGAGAGGTGGTTAGCGCGTGGATCGACACGGGGACAACGCAGTTGAATGGGGACAACGCAGAACGAAACTCCTGTGCCGAGAAAATGGCTCCCCCGATTCGGGGGTCAGGCTTGGATCACGGGGGTGGGGGGTGCGGAGACTACAAGAGCCATCCTGCCAGTGGCGCGGGGGGGGGGGTCTCACCTCGCACTTGCTGAGCAGCCCCGTCTGCTGCAGGCGCGCCCAGATCGCCATTATGCGCCCCGCGTGCTCGGGGTGGTTGCTGTCGTCGCCGCAGCTGCACTGGTGCCGCACCATCAGGGTGTCGTACACGACGCCTGCACCGCACACGGTGTCACTTGGTGAACGGCACCAAGGGTGATCGATTGGACTGCACTCGTGCGTGTAAGCACGTCAACCGGAACGCATCCCATCTTGTTGTATCACAAAAGCCAAGTGGGTTCGAGCATGAAGAGGAATTGGATGGGCAACCATCACGCGTAATACTATGCTACAGCAGGGCTACATTGTGTGCAAAGAGGTCGGTGCACCAAAATCCTTTGTTGTACGGTCCTACGCTCCCACATCACCAACCCACACTGGTGGTTAAATAACCCACATGCTGTATATAGAGGGCCGCATCGAGCAGTGGATTGGCAAAGAGCTGTACAAATGCATGATAATCCTGTAAATGCCCACTCCTACGTGCAACATTCATTCAACATTCACCACTAAGTTGCAGTGATAGCACCACAATGCGTGTGATCCAGACTCTGTGCACTTTTGAGAATGCATCACACGCACAAATATATGCAAAAATAACAAAGATCCCACGCATATCGATTTGAACCCTTCGAAAAAGTTCCGTTACAGAGAACATATTCGAGCCGGAACGGTACATGGCAGGGTGTTGTGACCAGAAACAATGCCCCACCACTTTTTTCTCCCGAGCACTCACGATCACACGTGGCACCGGAAACTCATTTATGGTTGAGTCAACCTAAGGGAGAAGGCCAAGAAAAGTTCTGACATGCCTCAAGCTGAGCGTTGATCATTACACCACACGCATGCACACAAGTGCATGCACATACGTAACTATATTAGCTATGAACTCATAATATAGGTTTTTGGGTCAGATCGCGTTATTTATAAATGTGTCGTAACCCTCCACCACCCGACATGGCAAAACAGTAAAAAATGTGTCACGTTTTTATCAACAGAAGGTGTATATCGGATTAACTGTTTATGTGGCAGATGCTATATTGGACAGACGGGACGCAGCATCAGCGTAAGACTAAAAGAACACCAAAGAAACATTAAATTATCTCAAACACAACTGTTGGCAGTGGTAAAGCATGCTTGTCAACAAGGACACTCAATTGATTTTGATAACGTTGAAGTATTATGTAAAACTAATTATTACTGGCCAAGACTAATTACAGAATCCATTGAAATTGAGAGAAACAGAAATAACTTCAATCGCTCTGACAGCTACAGGCTTAGTGCAGCCTGGAAGAGTATTATTAAATAAATACAATTACAATTCCTTATGGGAAACAAATACCAATGAATAACAATTGAATGATTACCAATCTATATAATTACAATACCCCCCCCCCCTCCTTGCCTCGAATCACTGCACCAGATTGAATTAAATGATGATGTCACCCTGCTGCTGCTCTATTTAAGTCCGGGAGCAACAGAAGAGCTTCACCATTCTTGCCCGATGAAGCTGATTGTAATTACCAGCGAAGCGTCGTGCTACTCAAATTTTAAAATGCTGCTGATTCTCTCTTCCAACACACCGGTGGGCTAAAGATGTGAATAATTTTGTCCTTTGAAAAACGTAACACATTTTTTACTGTTTGGCCGTGTCGGGTGGTGGAGGGTTACAACACATTTATAAATAACGCTATCTGACCCAAAAACCTATATTATGAATAATATTGGTCGCGAAAGCCTACGTGTTAAATTAACTATTAACTATTTTTTATTTTACCAAGTAAGGTCCACCGAGTTAAATAGAATTTGTTCAGAAGCGACCAGGCTATAAATGATAGCTCAACGAAGTGGCTTATCACGTGGAAATGTATAGCAGCCAAATACTCTAAATGCGTGTTTCTAAAGGTGGAGTGAAAAATCGGAGGACCCGGAGAAAAATCCACGGGAAATAATGGGGACAGAGACATGCAAACTGCAAATATAGACAAGGCGTCAGGGACGGGATCGAACCCACGTCTTCCTATACACCGGGCGAGGTCTGAATCGGAATGATTATTTATACTGGAGGAATCCGATGCGCTATAAAGCTCTTTCTCGCAGATGTCCAGTTTTTCACGTACGCCCAGTAGACATCTCGCCACCATGAATTTGTAGAAAGCGTGTGTGCTGGTTAAGCGGCGTGTGCCACTACGTGCCAGTGGAGAAGGACGGCCGGTTGGGCTCAGGAGGCAGGGGAGAGGGGTAGTGCGCCGGCGAAGAGCGTGCACGCGTCAGCGGGAGGTGCGCGCCCAGGCCCCACGGCGTCTCCTGCTGCTCCATCAGTGACTGCAAGTGCCGTTGCTAAAAAAAAAAGTTAAGCTTCAAATAAAAAAATAATTTAAATCCTGGGCAGCAGAAACTGTAAGGGTATAAACGTCACTCGAACAGTTCTTTAATTTATTTTAACATAAACTGCACTTGGCACGTAGAGCATGGCCGTAAGGGTGCTGCTCTGAATCGAGCGCTGGCATATTAATCACCGCCGATAAACTGCCGGCTGATTGTTAGGTCGGGGATGTTAGCAAATTGGAAGTTGGCGCTCGCAGCCCGGAGCGATTCATTATATCATGAACCGCTCCGGGCTGCGAGCGGGGCGTGGGCAGTGACGTCGTTACAGGCCAACACCGCCTCCCCTTCCTTGTGCCGTTCATCAGTGACGCTGCTGCCGCCATCAGCAAAATGGTCGGTCTGGAACAATAACTCTCCTGACAATATGATGGGCCGTGGTGATTCAAGGTCGTTATAGATTCAAGGACCAATTATTTTTCTCTTACTTTATGGAGAGTAGTAGTGCCTCTAGTGGCTGCGAGGTGAAACAAACCAATTATATACAATGTATTGCATCAAAAAACATAGATCTTCACACATACCATTTCGCTGCATTTATCATTGACTTGTAAATCGGTATTATTCGATGTATCGATGCATTGTTCCGCCTATAGCTGGACTAAGTAATTGACTACTCTACCAGAAGAGCTTCCATGCCCATCTAGAATGCTCTTCATTCCGATATTAAGAAGCCACTGCAACTATGCACTTATCTAGATCTACAAATATTTTCTTGAGAACCCCTTTTGTATTAAGTTTGTTGTCCTTCCCCCACACCTCCGATTTGCAGTTGGCTACGTACGGTGCGAAAGAAGTTTAACACACATTATCGGTGCATTTATTTGATTGATCAGATAACGTGAAAATGTTTTTAAAATGTCTCACCTCTGTTCCCATATGTAACACTGGACGGGAGCTGATGGGCGGCCTCGGTGACATCATTTGTATCGTCATTCGCGTCACGCTCGGTGTGACTTTGCGAAAGCAGGACGTAGTGGCGGCCGCCATTTTTAAACGGGCCCAAATAATTGACCACAGAAAAAGTAGCCAATTATAATCCCATCCAAATTGACCTACTTAAAATCGGTTAACCGTCCCAGTTCAAGCTCCGCAAATACCGAACGCCCCCGCACGCTGCTCCCTGCTGCAGCTCACCTGTCTGGTGTGCAACACCTGCTGCTGCTCCTCCGCCTGCCGCTCCCTCTCGTCCACCCGCTCGCCCAGCTGCCCCTCCTCTTCCCGGGGTTCCTGCTTTATGGCGACCATCTGGGGAGGCGAAGAGGGGCCGGGGCCGCCGCTCACCACCGTCGCCGGCAGGTGCGTGACCCCGGTCACGCCGCCGGGACCGAAGGCAGGCCGCAGCGGGCTCAGCTCGTCCTCCATGTGCGCCAGCCGCGGATGGTCGTAGTTCTAGGAGGCACACAGACACGTGCACATGTACACACACTCATACCGTAACACAAAGACCCTCCCCGTGTAGCCTTAACAGACTTTTCAGGCAAGTGCTGTCAGCAAGCACCTATTCAGGACAGCAAGGCGCTCGAGGGGGTAGTGTGGCCAGCACCACGTCCAGTGCCGGGTGGCCGGAACCACACCCAACCACCTCTGTCTCCCCAGTGATGGTGTTAACCCACCACACCAGATCTTCATTTAAGGCTGAATCGACCTACGGGAGGACAAGGACCCATTCAGATACCAACTGCCACTAATGTTATTCACAGTTGAGAATTAAACCCAGGTTTCCAGGATTTTGGCCGTATGGCCAGTGTCGAAGAGGAGGTTAAATTACCCTGAAGAACGACACCCTAAAACTCTGTCAAGTGCAGGCCCTTCTACCAGCAGTGGCGTCAGCAAGCAATTGCTGGGCTGCACATTTATCTTGTAATTCTAGATTTGAAGTTTTCGTGACTGCAAGGATCCATACTCTTTGGTTCTTTCGGTAAAGTCACGTTGGTGAAAATAAAAATGATAATAAAATTTAAAATAAAAATAACTAAATGAAATCACGACGTTTCGGGCGCAACACAAGCGTCTGTCATCAGGTGGGGACAACCACAGCAAAAAACAATCGCCGGCGTGATTTAATTTAGTTATTTTCATTTTTATTTTCAATTGTATTATTATTTTTATTTTCACCTACGTGATTTTACCGAAAAAACCAAAGAGTATTTATCTTGTACTTTCCAATGCTGCCCTAAGTGCGAAGCCTCTGACATTCCATGACCCCGCTCGTGCCAACCTGCAGCTGCTGTCGCTGCTGCTGCTGCATCTGCTGCTGCTGCAGCTGCTGCTGTTGAAGATGCTGCTGGCGTCGCAGGAACTGCTGGTGCCTCTGCATGAGAACCATGTGCTGGAGGCCCTGGGGGGCCTGGGGCAGCGGCGCCGAGTGTGTCCGGCTAACAGTGCGGTGGGTGGGAGCCGCGCGCAGGCCGGCCTGGGGGGCGACGGCCACACCGGGCACCACGCAGCCCACGAGCCCTGCACCACACACGGACACAGCCACACTCAGGTCTCAGCTCACAAAGACAAAGATCCCCCGTGTTGCCTTAGACTGTTGGGGCAAATGCTGTTAGTGAGCACCTACGAATGCCGGCATGGCACACGAGATGGGTGGGTGACCAATACCACGCCCGTCCGCCTTTGTTTCCCTAGTGGTGATGTTTACACACCGACCAGGTACTCATTTGAGGCTGAGTCGACGTAGCGAAGGAACAGGACCGGTTAAAAGAATCATCACTAGTGTTGGCCGTGAGCGGGAATCGAACTTGGGTCGTTGGGTTCGTAGCGCAGCGCTACCACACACTCACCCACTCACTCAACCACTCAATAGCTTAGCTACTCACTTGCTCACTCATTCACTCAGTTATCTATTTACCTGCTCAATCACTCACTCCCTTTTTTTACATTTTCCTGATTTTATTCAAACTGTAAAATGAGTGCCCTTGTTATGAGATGAAGTATCTATTTGTAAGGCCCACAGTGGAGTGAAGATACCGTGTGTTATTGAACGACCCACTGAAGCAGATATCACAGAACTGCTTCAGAGATCCCTCCAAGTGATCCTTTTCATTTAAATACCTATTTGGGGCTGCTATGTTCCAGAGCAATGTTCATCACGTGGCAGTAAAACTGATATTTGTAAACAAAAAAAATCTGAGAAACGGAAATAAACCAAATTAAGTGAAGACCATCAGCTGACTACAGCTGAGAACTCAATAAAACCACAGGCAACCGAAATCGAGATTCGAACCCAGGATCTCAATGGTGCCGACTCCGCGCTGTTACCCGAGTGAACTGGTCACTTCCGTCTGTCACTCGCTTTTATTCATTAACGTCAAATTCAATGTAAGCACACAGTTTATATTTTACTTAAATGTAAATCTTCAATAACATTTACAATACCACGCTGTAAATTACTGCAAGTGCAGCTGATTTTAACTCCCACACCTGAACACGAGTTAGGCCAAATGTCAATTTGGTGATTTTATTTTTTATTATTTTATTTTTTATTAATTTTCATTTCATTTTTTTACCTACGTGACTTTACCGAAAGAACTAAGGTTGCTTCTGAAATAGAGCTATATAGCTCAGCGTGCCTTACATTGTAAAATAAAAATGCGTTTTTTTAGTTTTAGTTTAGAGTGCCTCCTCAGAGAGCTCAATAGGTGACACCGTGTGCCCGGCCGATGAAACGGTGCTCTCTCTCTCAAGTTGGGTGCACTGTGGAGAGGGCAAACACTCAGCCGCGCCAGCCTCAGCTGCACACGCCGTACGGCACAGCGTGTGCGGCCGAGCGTGCAGGCCAGAGGGCCACTCGTATGCACGTGGACCGAGGGCGTGAAGCAGCGGCAACGGCAGCTGCAGCGTCAACTGGGTTACAATAAACTACTTGCCACAGTGGAGGAGAATTAGCGATCTTTCTTACCACGTGGAGATGCGGTTGGCCAGATCGGGTGGAGATTGTCCCCGAGGGATGACGCAAACGTCGCACATTTATTTTTTATGCTCTGCACTCGGATGCCCTGGGGGAGGCCTTTGTCCAGCAGTGGAATGATAATGGCTGATGATGGTGGTGACTCCTACCACTGCATAAGCAATTAAATTTCTGGTTATGTGATTACTCACGTTGTGTAATGTTAGAGGCCTTTTGTGCCACATTTCTCTATAAAAATATTATTCTTGGATATCAAGCACAGGAAGGGAGAATGTATCATATTTTCTACGATTCAACGTAAAAAAGAGATTAATACTTTTAAGAGGAAAAGCCAAGTAATAAAACATGTTTAGATGTAAAAAAACTAATATATAATTACTGCTTAGAGCACTACTAAGGGATTCTGTTAATTGCCATCAGACCCACATAGGCGTGAAATGTGAACAAATGCATAGAGTCAGTGGCTGGAATGCCATCGGAACCACACGCTAGAGATACGGCAGTCTGTTACAGATATGAGAGCCGTGCGTGCCCTACTGAGACCACGGCCCGTGGTTTTCCACTGCTCTGCCTCAGTATTTCCAGTAAAGGCCACTGGCCAGTGTGCCCTGTTCCCGGCATTCTCCATGTGGGCAGCTCTTTAAAAGGAGTTTCCAACGTGGTTTCCCGCTTAATTCAGATAAACACTGTACAGAATATACGATATATATAGATTCTGCTCGACCTGCAGGAGACTTGCTTTGTAAACTGCAGTAGTTTAAAAATAAAAGGCAGTGTATATTGCTCAAACAGTTCGAGTTTATTTTGTTTAACCAGGTGAGAACTCAAGCGACCAGCATGAGTCTCATTTGCGAGAGTGACCTGGGGCATGATTCTGCCCAGTCGGGGGCGACGATTGCGATGCACAATCCCAATGCGAGCAATTTACGGGCAATTGTTTTTTATTTGGCAAATCTTGACCCTGTCACTGGCATACGATGGCCTACTCTTGCGAATTACATCACGGGATCTTTAACGTCCGCTATGAAGCAGACAGAAAGTTAGTATCATTGTTGTAAATACACTGCAGTATTAACCAGGGAGGCCGCTGGATTCGAATAGTGTTCCTTTGCACCGAGCGGGGAATGCGCTTTTAGTTGGGCTGTGTCACCGCGACCCTCGGATAACCTCGCACGATGACGACATGGGGAGGTGAGGCGCGTGTGTGACGTGTAACATAATCATCTTGAGCGACAAGGGTAATCCTTCTAGCGGTGACTTTTATTGCCAAGTTTTGGGTAACCCTTTGGTCAATGTGGTTTGTTCTCTATTAGGGCAAGTCCCGAATTGCAACAACTTGGTACTAGTGTATTGACGTATATTGAGTCACTATGGCATTTAGCGCCAGCTACTGATACAAGAACAGAGCTGTGCGTGTTAGAGCCTCTCTCTGGCACCAGAGTATGTATGGCATGGAAGGGGGCCCTAGGGGGCATGGTTCTGGTGACAGTCAGAGAGAGGTCAGTTAAGGACGTGACAGTCTGGGTGAACCCGAGAGGGCACGTGACCAGGACAGGGTAGCGAGGGGGGCCAAAAGGTGGCGAGAGGGACACGTGGTGCATGGCCCAGAACCTTCTAGAAGGATCCAGAAGTGGGTGTGGCCGAGGGCGGAGCCAGGCCACGCTCAGGGGCAGAAGAGAGTTCCCGAGAGCCAATCAGGGCTGTCTTCTGGAATGTAACCCGCCGTGCTACGTCTCTTCGACCTTCGGTCGTCACGTTTGGCATCGTGGGTGAGGCAGTATGTTACCGACCTGGCCCGGTTATGTAGTTATACCGTTGGGGTCTAGTTACCCGTGGTTGTTGCCACCTATGTCGTTATCCCGTACCCTGTTGGGGTGTTAGAATAAACGTGTAGCCTCTAAAGTCAGGTGTGTGTCTTCGTGTAACCCACTACACGAGAAATCAGTTCTTTCTGGATTATCGTTATCAGTTACCATGCCACGACCCATCTACAGATGGGCGGAGATTGCACATCAATACTTTCAACCTGAGTTGACAAACGTCAAAAATGTTGCGGGGGCTGGACCAGGCTAGTTGGCGGTGATGGCAGGAAATGTGGCAGCATTAATAGCAATGATGATGGGAGCTTTGATCATGGTGATGGTGTGGTGCCATTGATTGTGATGGTGGTGATGTTGGCGTTGATGGTGGTGGTCGCGATCGCGATGGACGTGTTGGTGGCGATTGTGGTGATGCTAGGTGTGATGGCAATGGAAATTAAAAGTCACTAACGTTAAATTACCATTCACTTAATGTCAGTGCGATGAGTTTAACTGACAGTAATATAAGGCTACATGGGACAAGATACCCAAAATGCAAATGTGAGGACCACATGGAAAATTTGAATGAATTAATGCAACATCATACAATAATACGCATTGCTATACGGGAAGGATGCTGACAGACAATGAAATCCCAGTGTGCCCACTTGTTTGAGACAGATCACCATAGCACCATCCACTTTTTTCCACCACATAACAAAGATCCCCATGCAGGTTACATACACTGCTGTTGTGCCAAGCGCTGTTCGCAATCATTCCACACACAAAGACAAAGATCCCCCGTATAGCCTTAACAGCTACTTGGGGCAAGTGCTGTTAGCTAGCACCAACGAAGGACAGGACAGCACACGAAGCGGTCGGCGGCCAGAACCACGCCTAGCTGCCATTGCCTTGTAAGGCTAGGACTGGTTCACATAGTCGTCACTGGTGTTTGGCCGTGAGTGGGAATTGAACTCGGGCGGCCGGGTTTGTAACACAGCGCGCTAACCGCAACACGACTGCTCCCCGCTACACACACACGCGTCTTGCCTTTAGGTGGAGTGGCCGTCGACTGCGTGAAGTAGGGGTACATGAGGTTGTGCTGGCCATCGGGCTCGGGCCCGGCGAGAGGCAGCTGCGTGGGCAGTGGCGTGCTGGCAAGGAACTGGCCGGTGAGGGCGCCGCCCTGGCGCACAGCCAGGATGGCCTGCCTCTCCGCCTCCTGCTGCGTGCTGAGCACCGAAGCACCCTGGACAGGCACAGCGCCCCGCGGTCAACACTCAGCCAAGGCGCATCGCACCCGAGGGAGCTTCCCTCCGCGATTAACATTTGAAGACATCGGAGGGAAAACGAAATGCAAAACAGCGGCATTGGAGGAAGGTGGAGCAGGTGAAACATTTCATGCTCATTGGCCATTTTAAATTTGAGTTGATTTAAATGTACAATAAGCACATGTAAGCAACATTACTACCCCTTTGCGTATTCAAGCCGCGGATCGATGTGACAGCCCTATTAATTCATGATCGTGGAACGTTCCGCCAGGCGGAGAACCAAAACCGTGCAACATAGCGAGACGCACAATGTCACCATGTGCACGAGTCGTCGCGCGAGATAAAGGCGGTGAGGTCTACACACCCAAGACACAGATAGAGGCCACGTGAGGCCGTCTGGAGACCACGGAAGAACCCATTTAACTTTGTGTACCGTTCACACGTGAGCTCTGCTGCAAGATGTGTGGCTTGCACTTCCTCACGCGGGGTGTGCATGAATGGTGATGACGCTACGTCACAATTTGCTGGGCGTTAACAATTCTTGGTGTGGGCTGTGACATTTTTGCACGACTTGCTGTCCAGCGTAAAATGTAAGTTGTGAAATTTATTGGAGGAGTGTTTTTGGTGTAGTAATAAAAACATAGCAGAAAATGCACTTGAGACGCTCATGTTTTATACGCAAAGAGATAAAAACTGCCAATAATTGGGCCTTTAAACAAGACGTAAAGAGCATCCTCCACTCAATCGGGAAGCAATCTCCCTTCTTCCCATCGTCTCAGGAGCTTCTAATGGGTGTGCGTCCTCAATCGATACTACACTGTGAGAGATATTTTTAGTGCTGTCTAATTAAACCCCGCCATCATTCGTAACACCAGCCATGCAGGCACTCGAAGTGTGCTCGCACCACATGCCGGCGACGCTCTTTCTCCAGCGGTCCGATTGTCCAGGCGAGCTCACACTCAACCCAGACTTTCATTTACACAGAACGCGCAACTAAACACAAAGTAGCACAGGTTTAACAATACATGCACTAAAGGTGAACGAACATAAGGCTGCCAATAATTAACGGTAAAATATCTGCCAAAAGGGTGCTCCTTTTTATGGATAAGTTGCCTAATGAGAAGCTAAGTTGCATTCATTAATAAGATAATCTCTCGAGTCTAGAGACACTATTTTAAAACGAGCACAATGTTCTGGAGAAGATCTCACCTATGTCTGGCTTAGCTGCTGCACCAATAGCAAAGACAAAGATCCCCCGTATAGCCTGAACAGACTGTTGGGGCAAGTGCTGGTAGCGAGCACCTATGAAGGCCGGCACGGCACACGAGGGGGTGGGTGGCCAGCACCACGCCCGGTCGCCTTTGGAAGTAAACACATACACACGCATGGCCGATGTCACTCGTACCTGCGATGCGGACTGCGGGAGGCCCAGAGAGATGTTCGGAAGGGATGGAGATGTGAAGAGGTTGGGGTGACTCACGGACTGCTCCCGGTTTATTGCCAACGCCAATGCGTGCTGCGGGGAAGAACAGCAGGCGTTATACACTGAGGCCAGTCACAGTTTTCATAGGCACTTCTCTGTTAACCGAACCACAGCACTGCATTTGTTGAAGCGCTTCCTTTAAATCGTATTTCTCAAAGCGTGTAAGATGTAATAGGCGGAGAGTGCAAGTTGTTAGGGAGATTATTTTGATAAATGTTTCAATGATGGCTTACTTGGGCACATTCACCGAAAGTTTTTCATGACGCTGTGCATGGCATGGATCAACTTTATTTATATTAAAGTTACTGAGTAGGTGCTTCAGGGCCATTATACATCACGTTATTGAACTTACGGTTCTCTTAACTGTAAGTGCAAAGGAGGAAATAATGAGAGTTGGGGAGTAAATCGACTTAAAATTGTGTAAAAAAAACGACGACACTTTTTACTCCAAAACAATATATTTCTGAACATCACGAGCTCTGAAGATGCTTAAAGATGAAGCCATTCTCCGTGTGCTTGGCACGCTCAGTGTGAATTTGGCAGGCAACTATGCATGGTGGGGGGGGGGGGGTAAAAGAGAAGGGGGGCAGAGGAGGGGGCTGGGGGGGGGTACTAGCAGCTCGCGCAGCGCGTACACAAGCCCAGTGCGCCTACTCCTCCTGCACAACGGCAGCACGGCTGCTGTCGGTGCTGTCCAGCCCTGACCGCAGAACCGTGCTGCCCAAGCATGGGGCACAACGCGAGCCGAGAATACAGAGGAGGCCGCCGGCGTTGAGCTCCGAGAGGCGTGCTGTGCCTCGCTTTGAGTGATAATAGAAATAATGGAGCGCTTGCTTTCACAGTTATGCACGTAAACAGCACAATAAGTGGAATTGCCAAGCCGACAATGGTCTACAGTTGCTGGGCAAACAAAAGCGAGTAAAAATAGCCTGCTGACAACAATGACTAACCTCTCTTTTGGCAGTCGTTCTGCAAACCCTGTTTAATATTGGACAAACATAAGGTAACTATTCAAAAGGATGCTGGGTGAAATACCCGGAACTTGTCAATGTAAATATTGGATTTATTGCAAAACGGTATTGAAATAACATTCTGTTTGTACCATGGATTGACTGCTTATTCTGATGAGATCAAAACAAACGCATTGCCTTTTTCATTATAACTTAAACATTGTATTTGGCTGAGAATTAGCAAAAAACCATGTGGTCGCAAAGGGTGGTAAAAAAAAACGTGGCAGGAGTCCGGTGTCATGCCACAACACTAGAAATGAGGGCTGTATGGAAAATTACGCTGTAGTCACTGACCACGGAAACATTCGTTTTTAAGATGTGCTCTTTTCAACCAGGTACCCCAAGTGGGGCCTTCCAATGAATAACACAATCAGTGTGTCAAAAGAGCTAATTAATTTGGACAGTGAAGCGTGATGATTCCGGGTTTCGCCACGCGGCGAGCATTTTTTCTCTCGAGTTTTTTGCCCCATGCACTACTGTGAGCATCGAGTGGCTCTGTGAAAAGTCGCACGCCAATCCACGATGAATGTCTGCTGCTGCCTAATAAACACGCACAAAGATATAGTGATTCAATGCCTCGTAGCGTGCATGGGAGTAGCCGAGAGGCCGGGGAAAGCAGGCGAACGCGGTCTCACAAACGTAATGGGTAGAAGGCCCATCGCACGCTAGCAGCAGCAGCAGTATGAGAACACAATGGGATACGTGAAGTGCGGAGGAGGTGTGTGGGTGTGCAGACCTCTCCGTGGATGTTGGGTACAGATCCTGTAGTGCCGTTCAGCTTCACGATGTTGCTGTAGCTGCTGTTGGGTGAACTCTGCTCAGAGCCCGGGGCGCTGTCGGACGGCAGAGCATCTACACGGGAGGAGAGACGCACGCACTTTGTCTCTATGTCCGTCCCACCTCATGGACGTGGAGGCCTACGCCCAACTGCTGAGCTATCACGCAATATCACTTCACACCATGCACCGCGTTATCTGATTTCCTCGGAGTTTACACCTGTTAATTTGCAACAGCATTTTTATTTACATCTGGAAAGAAGCAGTTTCCTACGACGGTGGCACTGTATTTGGGACCGTTTCTACCGTCTCTGTTGCACTGTCTGCGAAGTTATTTTATAGATAACCGCAGCTTGGTGATTCAAGTGGCTAAGGTGACCACTGTAAGTTCCAGAGCTGGGGCATATTCGCTGGGTGAAATTCACGCAACACTCTGCACTGGTCCCTGCCTGTCAGAGTAAAGGTGGCGATTAATACGTCCCATGGTGAACAAATCCATCGATAAAGATTCCCCGTATAGGCTTTAACAGACTGCTGGGGGCAAGTGCTGTTAGGGAGCGCCTATGTAGGCCGGCACGGCACACGAGCGGAGTAGAAAAACGAACTCAAGTGCGCTAACCTCTAACACTACCACTCCTCTTCGATGAGCAACACGCTGACAAGCGAGACCTTAGTTCTCAAGATTGACAAACACAGCGCTCACAAATATACATAAAATAGGGTATTCTTTTACCACTATGGCAAAACACTGTTCTAGCGATTAAACACATGAAATCCTAACCCCATGCAACTGGTTTTTTGAATATTTGCTCTCAACGACCAGAGGCTAAAAGGTTACTTAACATTCTCTACTTATACATTTACTGTAAAAGGAAAACACTGCCAGCCCAGCAGTAAGGGGGGGAGGGGGCAGAGCCGACTGAAGCCTGCAATGAGCTGATTATGATAAGAAGCAACCCTTCCCGGAAATGCAATACAAATAGCAGTATTTTCCAACGTGCTGAGCGGAGCCTCACGGTATCTATCGGAGTGTTAATCTTCTATTTTATAGCGCTGTCTTTTGAGCTGGCAGCTTAAGGTACAGGTCATAAATAATCATAAGACCAATTTGTTTGGACAATACACACTGGAAAAGCTAGGCACTTGCCGCTTAATATTCATATGGAGGGTTTAAAACAGCGTCATATGGGGATGGTAATTAATCTACGTCTCAGCACTTCTACACTGTGGGCTAATTAGGGGATATGATTTTGCACTACAATTACTCTGTATTACTTCTAAGTGTATTGGGAAACAATTATCGAATGCATTAAAACAGAGGAAGAATTGTAAATAGATAGTTTCATTCACATGAGCACACTGGTGCCAACGATGGCAGACAGACCAGCCTGTGTGCACACAGAGACGATTAAAAAAACATTTCACATCTTTTATTTCAATCAGGATTAGTTTGATTGAGTCCATTTCCATTGAGGGGGCATTAAAAAACAATCCCTGACGTGTGTTTGTTTGCTTTAATGAAGCTATTGAATGTTAATGAACGGAGAGATTTCTCTGCTGGCTTAGACATGGAATTCTAAGCTGGTTTTGAGGATTATTGTTCCACGAGGCGCTGCAAAGAGCTGGAAATTGCAAGAACACTTACCCCGGGACAGCTCAAAGTGTCCTGAAGAAGCAACAGTGAATAGCCATACACACATGGGCCGATAACACTGGTCAACACACTTTTTCTGGCATAAGGTATTCCAACGGTTTTAAGGTAAATTTGGGGTGCTGATTCCAAATCTGGCATCAGTTTTTGTCTATCATATCAGGTTTTTGAGATATCAAATATTGCATTTTCAATAAAAACTGCAGAAAAAAAATATTAAATAAACGTGGATATCTACATAAAATGATATTATAAAACACACTATCCTAAAAATACAGCACCATATTTTAACACTAAAGCAGTCACTGACTCGCAACAACTTGCAATCATAAGTGACAGAATTAATTTCGGGTAAAATCAATGAAAATGGGGTATGCCGATAGCATAAAAATGAGATGTGATAGAGCAAATCAGATTTGGAATCAGCACGCTGAAATTAGTCTAAAACAGCTGCAAAAGTCCAGGCCAGAAAAAATTGTTTTTTTTTTTGTTGACCAGTGTAATAAGAGTTCCGCAGACAGACTGACCCAAACTTCACAACCAATGTTCTGAGGAGGAGTCAGCCATCGGTTTTTCTCACACGGACGTAAACACACACACGCGGCCGCCCTTCCGCCTCTGGGTGGTGGTCGCAGGACTGGGGAGCGTGACCGTCGGGTGAATGAAAGCCGCATCTGTGCACTTGTGAGGGTGAGCGGACGTACCCAGCCCCCCTTCTGCAGGCTTCCTCCCCGCGGACGCGTCACACAGAGGCTTGGAGTTCAGTGGGAGCGGGGTGTAGCGCATCTCGATTACGCGCTGTCTCAGCTTGGAGCGCACCTTGAGGATGGGTTCCGAGGCTGGCATCGCGCACCAAAGGCATACGTCAGCGGGTGAATTGCAAGTCGGGAGGAGAAATTAAAGCAATGACAAGAGAGAAATTAATTGCTTAAAGGAGTTGGCAGTGGCACAATTGTGTGACTGATTCGCCAATTGATTAATATTACACTGAATGGATTAATTATTTAAATACAGCCTTCGAACATTACTTGCTGCTGGCAATGAGGGCAATTTAGACTTGCGCCTGTCAAAGTCAAAATTCAATATAGACCACCGAAGAATTGAAAGTACGTTATTGTAATTATAATTGCGCTATAAAATGATTTTAACACCCATAAAAAACGCCGGCAAAAATAAGAACGACGCATTAACAACAGCGTGACAACCAAAGCAGCGTGATCGGGTTCGCCGTACCTATTCTGCGGAGGGGGTAGTTGCCTCTGCCCTCGGACGTGCTGGGTCCTCCTAGTGCCGTGGGGCCTGATCCATTGCCCTGTGAGATGGTCGTGCCAGACTCACGGGGCTGCCTGCAATGAGACGGTGGCGTCATCAGACGTGGTAGCGCAACCCCCTGGCCACGTGGGCCAGAGGAACCCAGCGCACACTTTACAAGGCATTTGCTGTAGGATGACCGTTGATAGAGCACAGCGGTGGGGGGGGGGGGTTTATATAGACGTGGGTTCGATCCACGTTAGGAGGTCGTCTGTTCGATCCTGACCTTGACGCCTGCTGTATATTTGGAGTTTGCATGTTCTCTTTCCCTGTGGTCGCGTACATTTTTCTCAGGGTCCTCCAGTTTTTCCCCCCACATTTAGAAACACGCGTTTAGAGTATTTGGCAGCTGTAAATTTCCACACGATAAGCCACTTTCGTTGAGCTATGATTTGCGGCCGCTTCTGAAAAAGAGCTATACAGCTCAGTGGGCTTTACCTGTTAAAATAAAAAAAGTGTTTAGTGTTTAGACCACACAAGGTTAACCTGTCCTGCGGACGTGGAAACGGATGGACGTTTGTAATGTCGATTCTCACTGCAGTTCCCAACAAAGGTGATAACACAAGCAAGAAGCGATTCTTGTCGTACGTGTATATGCAAGGGATCTTTTGCCAGCCCACTGGTGGATGAGGACCTCTTCCCAATGCCGTGCACGTCACCACGGCGGTCAGTGTGAGTTGGTGAAGGCGGGGAGCAATAGACGTGAGGACATGCGGTACAATTGTGGAGTTTTCTGCGTTGCCCTCCACTGCCCACAAAGTAACCCCCGAAGCAGCAAATAACCGCCTATTTAATAGAGGTTTTTCAGTTAGATCGCGTAAATCTATAAATGTGTCGTTAAAACCCGTTACCACCCGACACAGCCAACTAGTAATGGTTGTCACATAAACAGAACGTGGCCAATTCGTCACTATAACAGCACACCGGTGTGTTGGAGAGCCAAGCCACAACATTTACAATCTGAGTACTGTATTGTTGTGTCGGGGGGTGGCGGGTTTTAACGACACATTTATAAATTCACGCGATCGAACCCAAAAACCTCTATTGTGGATGATATTGGTCGCGAAAGCCTACGTGTTAAACTAACCACCTTTTTATGCATGGTGGTTGCCCATACAAGCCCCAATCGGGCTCAAACCTGCTTAGCTTCTGAGGCCTAATGAGATTGGATGCAATCCAGGTGACTTCATCTCTATGCAATTCTTGTTAAAAAGTAAAAAAACAAGAAGGTGTGACTTGCATCAATGCCCAGTGCATTCAAAGTGAATGATAAATACACATTTGGAAATATTTCTGGCATTCACCTGCTCTTGACAAACTGCTGGAGGTGTTTCCTGACGGCAGGACTGGCCACGGCACCTGAAAAGCGAACAGCGTTTGTTAGGATGCAGAGTTTTCTCGCCCACCAATGCCAAATGTGAGTGCGAACTGGCGGAGGGTCCCGCAGCTGTATCTGTGCAAAATAACAACCACTGGAGATGAAACCACCGACATGTTTGTAAGGTGGGACATTGTTTCCCCCTCTTATGCTGCAATAATAATCGTAAGGGCACACCAAAAAACACTTCACGTTATTTGCAGTTAATGCCAAAACATGTTTTTGCTCAGAGGGAAAACAAAAAACATTGCACTGTGGCACGAGTTTAATAAGCCCAGGTGGATGCGAACAAGGTTATGCGTGGGTGTATTTGCAAAGAGACGTACTGTTCTGGTCCTTGTCCTTGCGTTTTATAGCGTTGAGCTCCAGCTGCTGCATTTTCCTCAGCCGATCTCTCTCCTGCTCCTGCATCAACTGCCTCTCCAACAACTCCTGCTGCTGCCGCAGCGCCAGCACCTTAAAGCAAGCAAACGTAGTCACAAACAGCCGCTGTGTGTCAAAGCAGTTGGGTTACGGTGCATCACAAAGGCACTTCACCAAGTCCTCATTGTTTAATTATTGGAGGGTCGTGCCCCTACAATGCACCGAGACACTGCACACGCTGGACAGCGAATCGCTCGATTCGTAAAGGTTCATCATCGGACGAGCAGACGAGCGCCATGCTGGGCCTCGCGGTATATACCTGCAGGCGGTCCTGCAGCTCGGACTGATGCTGCTGGTTCATCTCCTGGTACTTGCGCTGGAACTCGGCGAGCAGCAGCTGCTGCTGCAACTGGTGGTTCCGGCGCAGCATCTCCATGTCCATGCTGAGCTGCTGGTGCAGCGAGGAGCGCAGGTCGGGGCCCCGCTGCTCCAGGGGGGCCCCCCGGAATACCGCCTCCAGCTCGGGCCGCACGCTCGAGGGCAGGGCGCCTGAGGGGCAAACACGGCCAGCTCGGGGTTCTCGCACGCCACGCGGCACGCCACCGAGGGCAAGCGACGAGCAGCTAAGCTCGACGACGTCGTCAAAGGTTATCAAAACACTGCTGGATGAAAGTCGCTCCCCCCCCCCCCGCCCCCCCCCAAGTCGTCACCACCATTTACACGATCATGGAATCGAACATTCCAACTTGGGCCTGCAAACGACCTGACTTCACAGCGACATCACATCTGAGATATATTCCACTCTCTTGGCTATATCCATGTTGACAATTCTGTCTCTCGGGGTAATACCAAGCGTGCATCTCTCCATGAATCTTAGTGCACTTTTCAGCTCTTGTCCCATGTTCTTCGTGAATTTTCATGTTTTTGTGAACCATGTCAGTGCAGGTACTAAACACTGAGTAAACACGTCTATCTTTAGACACATTGGCACGGTTTCACAAGTTCAGCTTCCCAAATGCATTCCAACCTGCTCTCGATATCAATACAGCTTAATTGTCAACTTACGCAACATACCCTTGATTTCGCTATGTTAACCAGGCGATCAAATAATCGATTCCCTCATTCTTCCAACCGGACCCTTTCTCGACGAGGATGAATTTAATCAACCGACAAGAGCAGAAACGATTTCGTATTCACACGTCGCACGCGTAAATAAACGGAGCGACCAAAAATAAAAATCCAAATATCAATGCAAGCGCCCTTTAGAACAGAAACCTAATTTTATTTATTCGTCAATAAGTGACGGGTGCCAGAGGGGTGGCTGGTGTGCGCCGCGTATGTCTAGCATGCTGCTCACGTAGGGCTTTTGTTGGCCTTTAATGAAAAAAACAAGAGCAAAAGAGCAATAAAAAGCTACGGAACATTTAGTATGCGTCTAAAAATACTCGAAGGCTGTCCACTTGAGTTAGCGGTTACTCTTACAGAAAACAGCAAGAGCATTTTGCTCTCGGTAAGATGGAAAAATAGGGAACAACATTTTCCCAATTATGTTACTTTTCATTTAGGTATTTTATTGGATTAACAAAAAAAACAGGCCAGCCTTTTAACCTACGAGCTGAACAAGGCTTGCTTTCTTCAAATCCTCAATCATTAGTAGCTCAGAAACCCGTACAGATCTCCAAGCAATGTGAAACATGTTTTACATGTTAATAGCTGGCGTTTAAAGACTGTGATGGGGGATATTACGTGAAGCAGTGACATTCAACCTCTCTCTAATTTGTAGCAGATGTGTTCACGGAAGGAAACTCCTAACATCTACACACACAGCGTGTGATGCATAGCCATCTCCATCATAAATAAAAAGCAACGAGACATCGGCAGAATAGGTTCATAATGTCACGTCTGCTTGTACTCCTTGTGCTAACGCCACATGAGAATGATTTAATAAACTGATATCACCTGCTAAAACCAGCGTAATGCACTTGATGAAATAGCCAGTATGATTAACGTTATTATTAGTATGCGATTCATTCTGTTCCTTTCGGTCCATGCTTGCTCACAAATGTACCCGGAGCAGTGCACAAGCTGCGTTTGCCCAGTAGCCTGCCACCCGGAGCAGAGCGAAGGGGTGATGATGACGCATTCACTTCAGCTCTGTGGGGTTTTTTTTTCCCCTTCTGGTTTATAAATCCAAGGTGCCATGGGATTATACTCAACGCAGCTATAGGGATATGCATTCTCGAGGCAACAAGTTGAGGCCAAAAGCAGCAGCCTCTGATTTAACAGATGAGATACATTTCGACTACGGCATTCATTGTGAAATGTTCCCAGCGTCAATACATGCCTCTAAACAGAAACAGAGCCCACTGAGCATATTGAGCAAGAGGGTAGATGGTATATTTAAAACAAAAAAATTACAGCCCTTTTGTCAATCCACTGCAGAATGAATGCCTCTCCATGCCAGGGTAGTTTGACCATACTTCACTACACTGGTCAGGACAGGTTGGTGAAGCGGGCCAAGCCCAGGCCTGTTCAGATTTGCTTTCTGTGGTCATCGTGCAATGCGTAACTAACCACTGTGCCACCACTCAACACCATGGACAGTTATGTGCACAGCTCAAGTTTATAATATGACGAAGGACTCAAAGAGTATTCCAGACACCCGTCCGCAGGTGTGCACACGAATTAGTATTTGTAAAGCGCAGGTGGAGGGAGGTTGAACATGTGGTTGTCGATTGATCCATGCGAGTCAAAATGAACGTGAGATTAGGGCGCAGTCATTCAGTCGAGCACACGCAAGGCCTGCTTTCCTGTCCAAATGTTGCAGCTGTATATTTTGAGATCCTTCAGAGGTGGCATATGTACACACGTGAGCAAAGGCTAAACCATTTGCCTGCCACCGATTGTACATTTAAAATTATTTCCTATTATGCCACGCCTCCCAACTGTTAAGAATTTGTTTGAAATTGGATGCATTCACTTGGCTGTTGTCCCCACTCCCTGAAACAGAGGGAACAAGTTTACCCTACTATGGCAACTACATTAAATACAGTTACGTGGGTATAGTGAAGTTTTTATACAAACGCAGTGTTACAACTTTTGGACACACTGCGATACAGGAACTCTGCATGACTCAACGTTACTCATTTTGTTACACAGGGACTTGTTACGTCACAATTAAACCTGCACTTTTCAATAACAATCACAGTACAACCTTCTATAACATTGAGAGCTCTATGCCACTGTTTATGCAGGAACGTACCGAAACCATCTCTTCCCAGCATCAAATTTATTATCCTAAGGCTTAACACAAAGCTCAACAACAACCGCATCCACGAGTTCAGTGTTCTTCACTAATTTTCAGAGGGGGGCCACTTTCGCCGATAAGAGATCAGTGTGGGGCCACCACACTGCAATGAGTTGTTTTCACATTTTTGTATTGTCGGGAGCCGCACGTTAGGAGCTGCACTAAAGACCACCAGGGACCGCCAGCGGCCCGCGGGCCTTGCAATGAAGAACACTGTACTAGTTCAACTTACGGTCGACAGGAATTTTTGTGCAAGTGTCGCTGCCTGGGTAACCTTAGGTATTGATGTTTAAAGCTGCAAATCTCCGGGAATAGCCACGTGGCAACGGATGGGACTCGCTCGAGAGGAGCGTCCACGCCAGAGATGGAATGATGAATTTATAGTTCGTGTGCAGGTGCTGGGGGGATTCTCACACCACAGAACCATGAGCGATGGCCGTGCATTGGGGAAGCCTTCATCCAGTAGTGAGTTGATCATAACTGATTATTATATTCTTGCGCATGGCAATATATTCAGGCTGTAAATGCCAATGTCAAGGTCTGCTAGCCACCAGACGGCTTCAGGAGAGAGTTCGTGTCGTCTTGCTATTTTTCCATTGAAGGAGTGCAGACTAGAGCGGTTTGCTATATGGTCCATAGCTTCATAAATGGAAAATTAAAAGACAGGCCACAGTGCGATTGTGGCCAGCATGGCTGATGATGGTGACCCATGTGCTGGCAGATTGTATCCTAATACCGTTGCAACAGAGATCTGACTGTGGGGTAGGATTCAACATCTTTAAAAGCATACTAGCTGTACTACCCGGCTTCGCCCGGGACTTGTATCTACCACGGCCGGCCGCCTTTGTCTCCCCAGTGGCGATGTTAATACGCTACAGTAGTTAAGTTACTCGTTTGAGGCAGAGTCGACCTAGGGGAGGTTCAAATAATCGTCACCGGTGGTGGCCGTGAGCGGGAATCGAACTGGGTTTGCCGGGTTGGTAGCGCAGCGTAGCGTTAAGCACTACACCCACCGCTCCTCACACACCACACACGCACAGACACACACACAGACACACACACAGACACACGCAGACACACACAGACAGAAACACACACACAGACAGCACGCTAACCACTACACTACCGCTCCCCACACACCACACACGCACACACACAGACACACACACAGACACACACACACAGACACACACACACAGGCAGCACGCTAAGCACTACACTACCGTTCCCCCTACACAACACACGCGCGCGCGTCCATAGGTACACATACACGCGCTTGCTGCAGACACACACGACTTTCAGGGTGCATACGGCAGTAAACGACTGAAATAATAAAGCGGCAATGCTGTGTAAGGAACGCCTTAGACCCGCATTATACATTTGTGTAATGCGAGCGTAAACACACAAACACACACAAACACATACACAATACACACACACATACATGCAGACACACAGACAGACACATAACACACATACATACACACACATACAAACACAGAAACACATACACACACATACATAGACACACACATACATACACACGAACACATCCACAGACGTACATACACACATACATACAGGCACGCAGACATACACATAAACACATACAAAAAAACCCACATACATACACACACACATACATACACACAAACACATGCACACACATACATACACACATGCATACAGACACACAGACATACACATAAACACATACACACATACACATGACCCGGCTTCGCCCGGGACTTGGATCCACCACGGCGGCAAAACCGACATACATACACACACAGACATACACACAAACACATACACACACATACATACACACATGCATACAGACACACAGACATACACATAAACACATACACATGACCCGGCTTCGCCCGGGACTTGGATCCACCACGGCGGCAAAACCGACATACATACACACACAGACATACACACAAACACATACACACACATACAAACACACATGCATACAGACACACAGACATACACATAAACACATACACATGACCCGGCTTCGCCTGGGACTTGGATCTACCACGCCCAGCCGCCTTTGTCTCCCAAGTGCCGATGTTAATACGCCACACCAGTTACTCGTTTGAGGCTGAGTGGACCTAGGGGAGGTTCAAATAATCGTCACCGGTGGTGGCCGTGAGCGGGAATGGAACTGGGTTCGCCGGGTTGGTAGCGCAGCGTAGCGTTAAGCACTACACCCACCGCTCCTCACACACCA